CAGTAGATACAAAAACAGCATTAAAAATTAATGCATTTCTGTACATAAGCCACAATCAGAATCAGTTGATAATTTTTACTTTATTTATTTAAAAAACAATTTTTAAAAGGTGGCTATTTATAGTAGCATTTAAAATGTTAAATACCTATGAATAAATTTAACAAAATATTTACAAATTTATTGGAGAAAATTATTAAAATGTTTAAAGACATTAAAAGGAAAAAAGCCTAAATTAGTGAAAGGTGAGATCAATGGATTAAAAGGCTCAGTATTGTAAAGATGTCAATTCTCCCCGAACTGATATGTAGATTCAATGCAATTCCAATAAAAATCCCAACAGGTTTTTTGTGGAACTTGACAAGCTGATTCTAAAATTTATATGGAGCAGAAAAGATTCAAGAATAGCCAAGACATTCCTGAAGAAGAAGAACAAAGGTGAGGAGACCTGCCTTACCAGATATAGTTATTATAAAACCTAGCGATAAAGACAGTTGTATACTGGCACTGGGATAGATGGATTGATCAGTGGAATAAAACAGAGCTCAAAAGCAGATTTATGTGTAAATGGAAGCCTATGAATGACAGATATGCTATTGTAGTTTTGGTGGGGGAAAGGATGGTCTTTACAATAAATAGTTCTGGGACAATTGGGTAATCCTGTGGGAATAAATGAAATTGAATTCTTGTTTCATACCGAACACAAAAATCAATCCCAGTTAGTGTACATACTGAAATCTAAAAGACAAAATGATGAAATGTAGAGATAGTGATATAGGAAAATATAATGTCACAGTAGAAAAGGTTGGAGACTTAAAATGTTGACAAAGGGAAAGATTAACTTGACTACATTAAAATGCAAGTTTTCTGTTTATAAGTAGATATCCAGAAAATGAAAGGACAGGCCACAAACTTGGCAAAAAAATATTTGTAACGCAACTGATGAAGAATGATTACCCAGAATGTATAAACAACTCCTACAAATTAATAAGAAAACAAACAAGTAATCCACTAGAAAAAAAATGAGGAAAATGCTTGTGAAGTAATTCACAAAAGAGGAAACCCTGTTGACCAGTAAACTATAGAAAGATGGTCAACATCATTAATAAATCAGAGAAATGTAAATTAAACTGACATTTGATATATGCAGAATCTGACAATAGCAAATGTTGATGAGGATACAGACCCACTGTGGGAGTGGTTCTTTGCTGATGAGAGTGTAAATTGGTAAACTACTTAGAAAAACAATTTGACCTTATCTGGTAAAGTTATAGATACCCACACCTAAAATGCTTGCATGTGTGCATGAGGGCACACATACCAGTTAGCACACATACCAGTTAGCACTCAGACTAGGGCTGTTCGCTGTCAACAACCCAAATATTCATCAGTAGTAAAGTGAGCAAATATATATTGGTATGTTCTCAGAATGCAATGCTACAAAGTAAAGTGAATGCACTTGGGCTGCATGAACAACCTAGATAAAGTTTCAACATAATATTTGGAGGTGGGGAACAAGTTGCCACTTGATTATGATTTGACTTTTATAAATAAAATAGACAACAATAAAAAATATCATTTAAGGGTACAAGATATGTGGGATACAAATAAATTAAACCAAGGTAATAATAATTAGAAAATTCCAAGTTTACTTGTGAGAGAAGGAATAGTATATGACAAGGGAAGGGCCCAAAGAACTTCTGAGTTAAATCATTTGAAGGATATATTTTCATTTTTATAAATATAGAAATTGAAAAACAGTTTTTAAAAAACTGATTTTTACAAAAAGACTTAATACATATCCTTGCTTCTAGTGAAGACTTATGCAAGGGATGAAATGGTTTTTAATGCCACCTAGTGTTTTGAGAGAATATAACATCTATAGCTTCCTGGTTCAGCTGCTGCTTCCTAGTTGTGTGGGCTAGGATTTTCAGAGTAGAAACTGAAAGGAGTAGGATTCTCGTCATTTTCATCCCGATGTGGGCTCTTCAGTCTGACCTTTTGTATATAGCACTATGTTCTCTAAAGCAGGCCCTTTTCTTTTCTCTTGTCAAACAGTGGCTTCTGTTTCATCCTTACTTTCCTTTTAGGAGCCTTATTTTTTTTCATTATGATTTGGGGAGCTAGGGATGCAGATAGGACTATGAGGTGTGGTCATTATTATTACTGACCCTGGGGACTATTTCAGGTCTTGCTGTCACTACCTTTGTTCTACATCATTTTAGAGGGGAAATGTACAGGGAAAGTGATGCCTCTGGATTAGTTGTGAGGGCTTTAAAAATGTGTATCTCATCCCACTCTGTACCAGGCTAGAAACATGGAAATCCAGCCTCTCTGGGTGAATTGGGAAATTCCAGTCTTTCCTTTTTTAAGAGTTTGTTTGTTTGTTTGTTTGTTTGTTTGTTTGTTTGTTTAGAGAGAGGGGGGGAAGAAAGAGAGGGAAAGAAGCATGTATCGGTTGCTTCTGGCACACTCCCTAACTGGGGACCTGGCCCCCACAACCCAGGCATGTGCCCTAACCAGGAATGGAACTGGTGACTCTTCACTTAGTGGGACAAAGCTCAACCAATTGAGCCATGCTGGGTGGGGGGACATTCCATTCTTAAGCAGTGTCTCTGTTCCATGTGCAAGAGTCCTGCTCAAGATACTCGTTTTTCCCCCTTATGTATCGGTAGCATCAATTGCCTTTATTAGTAAAATAACATGCAGAACCTCTAGGGTTTTAACTCTGAAAGATAAATCTTGATTAAGTGAAGGCAGATGGACTATGAGACCTTTACTCCCTTTATCTTAGGATCTGTTATTTTCATTTCTCCTATCACTGTCTTGCTGATTCCCAGGAAATATATTTACTCCCTTCTTAGAGCTTGCTCTTTTTTTAAAGATTTTATTTATTTATCTTCATAGGGGAAGGGAAGGAGAGAGGGAGAGAAATATCAATGTATGGTTGCTTCTCATGCATCCCCTGCTGGGAATTGGCCTGCAACCCAGGCATGTGCCCTGACTAGGAATTGAACTGCAGTCCTTTGGTTCGCAGGCCCATGCTCAATCCGCTGAGCTACACTAGCCAGGGCAGAGCTCTTGCTTTCATCTAGTAAAATTGGTTCCTTGTAGGCTGGAATTTCCTTTACTTAATCATATATGTTTTTGATTATCAAAACCAGAAACCTAAATGTCATCTTTCATTCTTGTCTCTTTCTCTCCCCAATCTACATTTCCTTTATTCCATCTCTAAATCTATTCATTCTGTCTCCAGAATATATTTCAAATGCATCTGTTTCCTTGTACCATCATCATCTTTCTGTGTTTCTGTTCTTGCCTACCACTCCATTTTCGATATAGTAGCCAGAGTGATTCTTTAACATGAATATTGGATTGCAGTTTTAAAACCTTGAAAGATTTCCTCATGAACTTAAAATAAAAGTCTAGCTCCCTATTGAAGGACCTATATAGAAATGTGCGGGTTAACCTTACCAAGCTCATCTCCTCCCACTTCCTCTTGCCATCCCCACCAAATCACATTTTCTACATAACATATTCACTGACCTTTTACTTCTTCCCACAAGCCAAGTCTTCTCCTGCCTCTGAGTTACCACAGAAGCTGTTCACTATTTTCCATACTCGTCCTTCCTCATAGAGATCCACCCTGTAATATAAATTTGGGCATACTTTCTCTAATAGCATTTTGTTCTTTCAGTGCATCTATCACTATGTTTAATTTTATATTCATTTGTTTTATTTGTTTAATGTCCGTCTTTCACCCACAAATTTGTATTGTCTATGAGTACAAGAACTATGTATATGATTAATTCACCACTGTTTGCTGTGTATCTAGCCTGATATCTAATAGGTATACAATATATATTTGTTAAAAGAATAAATGAAAAATAATACATGAACCATAATTTTTTAAGTCTTTACTTACTGCTGAGTACTAAGGTTGTTTTCAGTTCTGGATCATTCTAAATAATGATGAAGTAAATAATTTGAACATAGAGATTTTTCTTTCTTTAGGCTAGTCTCAGAAGTGGAGTTCCTAGATCAAAGAGTATGAATATTTTTAAGTCTCATAAAACATATTTCCAAATCATTTATTAGAAAGGTTTCTAAGTTAGAAATTTAAACTGCTTCCCTTTTTGCTTTCTTAGTTTTGAATATATGGAACATATAGGAAGAAAACAGTTAAAATAATAAGGTTTAGCTTTCCACACCTTTTTAAAATTAATTTATTAAATTCTTATTTTATGACAGACATGAGATTATCTCATTTATTCTCTATGTAGCAGATATTAGCATCTCAATTTTAGAGATGAGGAAACTTGGCCCTATAAAGTTTAATAGATTTGCTTAATTTCAGATATTCTAGACTATCTCATGTCAAACCATTTATGCTTATCCACATACCTACTTAATATACATTTGCTTCAAAACTGCTGCATAGTCACTGTCAACTCACCCAGGTCCTCTTCTACCCAACTGCTGAGTCCATATAAACACCTTTCCTTGTTTCCTTGCCACATATGCCAGAGGCTGAGCTGCTGTGCCTGTTTGTAAGGGCCCTAGAAAGAACGAAACTCATCTAATCACCCAGAGCCCTCCTGCTTGGTTCACTCAGATGCACCTCATTCTTGTGTGATGGTTAGCATGGGGATAAAGGACTCACACCCTCAGTTATGTCCCCACTCCTGCTAACAGGGGTGGTCCATATTGACCCAGCATTGTAACCGGTCCCTAACCACATAGTAACTGAATAAAGAGCATGCTGCATAGTAACAGGAAGGGCATCCTGTTCCCTGGGGATTCTTGGTGGTAAACTAAGAAACTTGCTGGCTTTTTAGAGGAGAGGTACACTCTCTGTGTTAGGCTGTAAGTCTTCTCTTGGGCCCATCTTTTTCCCTCAAGAAAACGTAGAACTCGCTGCCAGGTCGGGATTTGGTGTAGCAATTCGAATGTTTGGTGTTTATCCCTGTTAGTAAATCCTCTAATTTCTCTTAACCTTTCAGGCTCTCCCTGCTTGTCCTATCCAAGCCACCTGTGAAGCTGCCTCCAAGGAGGAAAATAAGGAAAAAAATCGATATGTGAACATCTTGCCTTGTGAGTGTTTGTAGGGTTTCTTAACCTAAAACCGCATCTCTAGCCAGTTTTGCTGACACCAGAAAGAATCTTGTGATTGATCATAGGAGGGTTGGTAAGGAGGGTAAAATCGGGCCTTCTGTCAGGCTGAAATTGCCTTTATGGCTCCCAAGGCGACACCAGGTGCTCACAGAGTCAATTGCGGTGCTTAATCAGGGTTTTTTTGTGGCAGGCCTAAAGTTTCTAGGAGGTTAAGAAGAACTCAGAGGTTAAGTTCCACTCAGACCAGAGAGGAAGTGGGTTGTTACTGGTTTTCTGTAGAGCTTATTGTGAAGAAATTCTAATACAATGTTCTCGCTTCATAACTTCTTCCCAGAGTTAGCCATTACTAATCAGTTGATCTATAGCCTAATACATTTTTCTAGGCCACTGGTGTCCAGAATGGGATATGCATAATGCAGTGAGATAAAAGAGCAAAATTGCCTTAATTTTATAAGGGTTTTTCAAAATACATGCATACACACAAACATATATAACTCATTTTTTAAAAAACTTGTATTTTTTAGGTGCATAAAATATTAGAGATCACTATTCTAGGCATTTGTAGATACATCTTATTTGTGTATGAATATATGTATATATTATATATTTTTAAAATGTAATTGGTATATTATATACATTGCTCAAACTGTTTTTCTTTTAATGATGTATATTGTCAGTTCATCTGTTGAGAAACAAAAGTTTTTGTTTTCCTCTTTATCAACTGCTTACTATTCCATATTGTCGATATATCTGAACTTATTTAACTAGTCTCCTACTGATGGTTGAGATGTGTCCAAGTTTTTGCTGTGACAAATAGTGCTGCAATGGCATCTTCATACATATGCATCTCTGTACCATAGGCACAAATGTCTTACCTGGCCCAGTTATATCAGGACCACTGAAAAATAAAATTGGATTGAACTATTTTAATGTTAACTAATTAATATTTAAATATTAATTATTGGGTTTTTTCCTAGATGATCACTCTAGAGTCCATCTGACACCAGTTGAAGGAGTTCCCGATTCTGATTATATCAATGCTTCATTCATCAATGTAAGGAGCTTTTCTCATCATTACCTTGAATGACCATTGTGAGAGTCAGTGAATACTTTATTGAGCTTATTCAGAAAACTAAGAACAAAAGCAGGCTTTGCAATCTATAGTAAAAATAATGGAGAACAGGGTAAAAGTACCTGATACCAGCTAAGTCTGGTTCAACATGTTTATCGTGAACCAAGACTGGGGGAAGAACTGCAACTGGGAGGAAGTTTTTAGGGGTGATTTAGAGAATATTCATAGAGATGGTGTGAGAGACTGGAGTATGTTTTATAGAGCATGGAGAAGAAGCTAGTAAAGAAAGAGTGTGAAAAGAAGACAGAGAGTACATGCTAGCAAGAATAAGCCTGACTACTGAAGTAGGATGCTTGAGAAGAATACTGATGGGATTGGTACACCCATGTTCATAGCAGCATTAACTACAATAGCCAAAAGTAGAAGTTACCAAAGTGTCCACTAACAGATAAATGGATAAGCAAACTGTGGTCTAAACATGCCATGGAATATTATTTGGCCTTGAAAAGGAAGGAAATTCTGACATATGCTGTAACATGAATGAACCTTGAAGACATTATACTAAGTGAAATAAGCCAGTCACTAAAGGACAGATATTGTATCATTCTACTTCCATGAGGCTCCTAGAGTAGCCAAATTCACAGAAAGTAGAATGGTGGTTTTCAAGGGCTAGGGGGATTGAGGAATAAGAAATTATTGTTTAATAGATACAGAGTTTCAGTCTAGAAAGGCAAGAAATTTATGGAGATGTATGGTTGTAATGGTTGCCCAACAATGTGAATAAACTTAATACCACAAAACTATATACACAAAAATGGCTAAAATGGTCATTTTTATGTTAAATGTATTTTACTACAATTTTTTTTAAAACATTACTGATGGAGAGATTTCTTCCTCTGTGATTGATGGTAAAGGAAGATACAGAATATATAGAGATGGTTTGTAGATGTGGGTAACACAAGCTGAGGGAACTCGTCTGCTTTCTCTAAGAAGTAAAGTCATGGCTATCTGCTAAAAGAAGATGGGACTGTGACTTAGAATAATGAAAGTTTGGAATAGCTTCTGAGCTCCTTGAGAAAGCTGAAAGGGGAAGAAAGAGGCATGCCCAGCTGCAAATGAGGATCTATCTAAAATGAAAATCATTAATGTATAGGGCCTTAGTTTTAAGATTTACTCCAGCTGTACCCTGGGCTTGGTGGCATGTAGAGAACATATGGTACTCAGACAAAGGAACTGGTCATTGTCATTTGCTACTTTACTGAACCTGAAGCCCTTGGTTACTTAGAGAAAGGAAGTGATTTTAGGAATGAACTAATATGCTAGGAAAAGATGGTGGGATCAAGGAACTAGAGGTCTTAAGAAAGTGAAAGAACAGGGTGGGGATAAGAAAAGAAGAAAGATGAAAAAACAAGAGACTGTGACAAAAATAAGCCCTCAGTTGGACTTCAGAACCGTTTGGGCATGTTTAACAATGATGGTCACATGTTTGCCATTGGAAGGAAAGGAAGCCTGGTAGAGAAATGATTGATGTGGTAAATAAAGAAATTGGAAAGAGGCTGGTAATCAGCTTGATTCCTAGGACTTAAATGATTCAAGGACTGTGAAGAGATTGGGAGGAACAAGTTGACTTTAATGTTGTGCAAGAGAGTACAGGAGTAATCAGAATATTTTCTTCTGCAGGTAAGAGAATATTCAAATAAAATTGGTCTAGATAGGCACATTTATTTATTTCATAGTCTGAAGGCAGGTGTAGGCTACTTCTAGAGTTGGCTGATCCCATGACTCAGTGGCAGTCCTAAGAAACCAGGTGCTGCCTTCTTTCTCCTTAGATATCTTCAGCCTGTTGGCACTGTCTCATGGTCACAAGATGCCTGTAGTATTTTCGAACAATCCTTGTAAACACAGTGAACAACACAGAGGAGGAACATTTCTGCATATACTTTTCTCTTTCTTAGGGAGTGTTACCTTTCTCTGAAGCCTCCCAGTGCACTGCCATTCAGGGCCAGCAGGACCAGGATTATATCACATGCTTATACCCTCTTTCCAGTCACTGGTGTGGGCTTTGAGAATTACCATGATTTACCCCTCTAGGTATAAGGAATGGTCACCTTCCAAGCCAGCAGAGGTAAATGTCCAAACAAAATTGTGGTGCTTTTCACTGGATACCACCACCCTCATGGACACATGTTGTATGCAATGTGTCATGCTAGCCACAGTCACCAAGGTGCTAGGCAAGATCAGCTCCCAGGAAGGGCGCAGATAGGTGTACATGGAATTTATGGATGACACTCGCCACTCCATCATCTGCAACATGAAAGAACCAGTGCGCAAGGGCAACGTACCCACCATATTGGAGTCAGAGCAAGATGCTCAGAGGCTGTGCTGAGTTTGTGCCTGTGTCTGGATGTCTGAGTGGACCACATGGCCCAAGGGCCATTAATAAAACATTTATATTGTATATAAAGAAAGTTATGGTGATAATGTCAGAGAAGAAAGGGGAGGAGTGGCTTTTGAGTTAGTAACTAGCAGTATCTGTCATCATAACCAACTTGGCTCCTTCCCACACTGAAATAGAGACAGACAAAAATTAGTTGGATGTTAAGGCTGGTAAACAGGTAAGATTGGTCTATTCGTGGTGATGTTGAGCAAGGCCATAAAGCAAACAAGCCTCCTTTGGCCATGTTTGGTTGGTGCTCACACTAGGTAACCTTATAATGCCTTGATGGTTATTGGAGAGTTAGTAATAGATGACATGAGAGTTTAGAAGAAGAGAGTTAAAATTGGGGGCACTTATAAACTCTGTGACAATTGAAAAGGGGGTTAAAAGCATGTAGTTATCTACAAGTAAGAGTCAAGGATTAAAGAATATTTAGGTTCCACAGTTTATTAAACTCAGTCAACATTTTTTGAGCACCTGCTGTATACTAAGCACTGTGGGTAGGCACAGAAGTTATAGAGATAAGATAGGGTCCCTGGTGGGAAGTACAGGTAGATTGTTTTCTGTAATGTACAATGTGTGTGAAGGAGGTATGGCCAGGTTCTGTGGGACTCAGAGAAGGAAACATTCAGCCAACCTGGTGATCCAGTAGAGCTTAATATTGAAGGGTAAGCCTGAGTTCAAGAGAAGAAAGATGGGCAGAAACTTCAAAGCCAAAGGAGAAGCGTGAGCAAAATCACAGATTGGAAACAGCAGTCTCTGAAGATACAGGTCCAAGATGGGAAGTCATAGAGCATGAGGCTTGGGGATGTGGTAGGAACTCAGTCTTGGAAGGCATTGAATGTGAAGTATATCCATTGGGCTTCTTAGTTGCAGACAGAGGAGTCATTTTTTGTCTACTCTTTTAAGCAGGAAGGAGTTTATTAGAAGATATGGGGTAGCTTTTAAAATTTGTGGGAGAGCCAGTGAACCAAGGTAAGGTTCTGCTCAGTGAGGGGACAGAGCAGTCGGAGATGTACACAGCTACCCCATGCGACTCTCATAGTGAAACTTCTGCACAAGTGCTACAGAACTTCTGCTGCCATGCTTGCCCAAAGACCAAGTCTTCCTGGCACAGTCACTATCTCACGATGCTCACTTCTACCCTGGGTCTTGTGTGGGAGTGTCATCTGTTAGGAAAAAGCTAGGACTGTGCAAAAGTGGACTGCAAGGGGGCACTCCAGGGAATTTAGCTTTTAGTTTCTCAGCCCGTGTAGTAAGAAAGTTAAGATAGCAGTGGGTGGGACTGGGTGCTGAGTGAGCCACCTTATAGTATCTATAAATTTTCAGTACAAGCAAGGGTTTTGATTAATTCTCTGGACAACAGGGTAACATCAAAAGGTATTGAAGACAAGAAGTGACATGGCCACATTTGTATATTGGGCACTCAGGTTACCATGTGCAACATGGATTTAGGAGGGCCAATGGGGGGTTGTTACAGTAGCAGGTTATGGATGATGAGGGCCTGTAGAAAGGTTGAAGAGGAAGTAACGAAGTAAAAACTACTTTGGAGGTAGAGTTTAATAGGACTTAGTGATTAATTGTATATTTGGAGAGTGGAGCATACAGAGATTAGGATGATCCATGTGGATGTACAGCATACAGTTAGTCATACTGATTTGGAGCTCAGAGGAGATATTCCAAACCCACGATCTTGGAAATCATTAGGGCAAGAAGATTGTGCCCTGGGACCCACCCGCCTCTGCCAGGCACATTGAGCAGAAGGCACTCTGGAATGGAATAAATGGGAACTGAGAGAGAAAGCATCTCAGAAGGCAGAGTAAAGCACAGCAAAGGGTTTGGTGGTCAGCAGGGTTCAGTGCAAGTGAGAGATCTGGTGAGAAAGGAGCAGACATGCCTTGGGCTGGAGTATCGCAGCAGACAGTGTCCTTTGCTAAAACAGATCAAGGCCACTTGTCATAGGCTGCCAGTTAACTTACCAAACCCTTTTTCTCCCCAACTTCATTGAAGTATAGTTTTAATAACAAAAATTTGTTTATTTAAAGTGTAGAATTCAGTTTTTGAGTTTACCAAGTTATGCTGCCATCACCCGTTTTTTAAAATTTTAACAGCTTTATTGAGATATAATTCATATACCATAATTTTCACCCATTTAAAGTTTACGATTCAGTGGTCAGTATATTCACAGATATATGTAGCCATCACAGAGAGCTGCGGTCATAGATGGGTCTTGAGGGCTAGTGGTACCGGACACCGCAGAGTGGTGAGCTGACAGTCAGTAGAAACTGGGACCTGTGGTTTGGGGAACACGAAGATCTGAAAGGGAACCTGACATTGGTCACAGGAGGAAACAAAACAGACAGTGGCACAGTTGGCAAGTGGGCTTCCAGTCTGAAGTCTTAGAAGGAACTGATTTTCTCACTTACCTTTAGATGTTTAGGAGTGTGCAGGGCCTTTAGAAGTGTTTTTTGTTGTTGTTTTTTAAACTAGTAGGAATGTAGTTACCATCCAGAGTCAGCTGTGATTTGACTTTCAAAATTCAAAAACATCTCAGGAACCAGGGGGCCACATTTATTTCATCAACATAACATAAGGAAGATCAGTAGTTTAGCTTCATTCTAGTTATATGTAATGCGTTAAGCAGTGTTGCCATATCGAGTAGTTATGCTTTCATGGGGACGTAGGGCACACTCCTGGTAAAGATGGGGTAGGAAGCTCTTTGGGGCTGGGCCTTCAGTCTATTTATGGCCCACATTCTTGGGTGAGAACTGCAGTGACTTCTTGTGGAGCATGGATATGGTATGGCTTACCATACTCCAAGAATTTCTCAGTTTTAATTACAAGTTTAATACTAAAGCAGAATGCAGCATCCTGAATTAAGGCTTTCTCAGTTTCCATCTTGTAATGATTAAAAGCATTAGGACTTAAAACTGAAGTTAGAATAGGCTTCCTGTTGCTGACTCTAAATATGTCCATCTCAAGGCATACAGCTTACTGTTTCTGTACCAGGAGGCAGCCCTGCCCTGCTCTAGTTTAAACTGGACTAGGAAGTGGCTCCTGAAACTCATGCTGCCTCCTTTATTCTGCCACTGCCTTGCAGACTTGTATTTCACATCATCACTTTGGTGTGACCTGGTGTCCCATTCATGACACTGCCACTCATTGCCCATCTTACTGTTGTTTGAAAGGCAATGGCTAATAAACAGTCCTTAAAACAAATAATTTTTCACTTACCTGGGACTTGTCAAGTGAGCATAACATTTAAACAGTGAGGTTGAAAAGATGTATAACTGAAATAATAAACACTAAATAGGAAAGTATGCCTGTTGTCAGTTTTTCAAAGGCTCCTTATCTATATATCCCCAAGCTCCTGTGCTTCTCACCGCTTTTAGTGGAGAACCCAGAATGCTAGGAGCTGGCTCACTGTACCCACAGGTTATTCCCAGAAAGTTTCTGCACCAGAGTAAAGCAGCATCAAGAAAATACCATATTTTGCCATGTATAATGTGCACTTTTTGCCCAGACTTTTGAGGGAGAAATAAGGGTGTACATTATACATGGGAACCAGCTCTAAAATGTGGGTGTGCGCTATACACCAGGAGCGCATTATGTGTGACAAAATACAATAACACCGTTTCCTCCCTAGTGTGGGCCCAGCTTCATGCATGGAAATACCACATACGCTTCTTCCTTGGAAGGTTCTTATTCATTAACGCTAAGCCCCAGATTGGCAGGCTTTGAGAAGGAGTCAGAAACAGGGTCTAGCCTAGAAATTGGTATTTGGATATATTCTTTTAAGATTTTATTTATTTGTAAAGAGGGGAAGGGAGAGAGGAGGAGAAGGAGAGAAACATCAGTGTGTGGTTGCCTCTCACGTGCCCTCCACTGGGACTTGACCCACAACCCAGCCGTGTGCCCTAGGCTGGGAATTGAACCAGAGACTCTTTGGTTTGCAGGCTGGCTCTCAATCCACTGAGCCACACCAGCCAGGGCTGGGTATTCTTCATTAATAATTTAATTCTTCACTAATACTTTGAGAAGACTATATAGATTATGTAATCTCTGTAGTCTTTGATTCCTGCTATCTAAAACTAATCCCTTGGAAATTTCCAGAATGGAAATTGTTAATTGCCTCTTCACAAGGGAGGCTTTGTTAACTGGTTGAGAGTCTGGAGAATTTCATTTTCAATCCACTTTTGGTTTTCACTTTCTTTTCTTCCTCACTGTCCCTTCCAACAGGGCTACCAAGAAAAGAACAAATTCATTGCTGCACAAGGTAAAGTTATAATTTTTTACTCTCAGGTTTATCCATAAGCTCATAGTGGATTTGGATTATTTCTTTCAAATGCTGAATAGATTAGTCAGAATGTAGTAGCCTTTCTGTAATGATTATCACCTGAAAAAATAAGGGATCTGCCTGAAAAAATAAAGTGATCTTAATTACTTGTATCCAGGGTCTTTTTAAAGTAGTCCTTTCATAAGTGTGCATAAAAAGACTGGAGAAAGCTACGAGCATGCATGGTGTAATGAGGCCTTCTTGTTTTATGGCCATTTGGAGATGTTAGGTTCTAGCCAGGCTGCTCGGAATTCAAATTTGTAATTAGTCTCCAGAGAGCATTGGCTGCCTCATAGGGCCCAAACTGGCTCTTTTTCTTCCCCCAACTCATGGGCCTGAGCTCCACTTTTGTTCAGACATGAGTGGTCTGGGCACCCTCGGGGCAGCGACCCAGTGCTGTGGACCTGCACATGCTCTGGACGCATTTCCACAGCCTACTTGGCTGACATTTCCTCACCTTGGGATTGTAGCTAAAATATTTTTATGTTTGTAGCATTAAAAAGTAATTGATGTAGTTATGATCCATGTGAGCCCATTTATTTAGTTACTCAACAAATGTTTATTGACCATCTGTTATGTGCCAGGCACTGGCCTAAGTAAGTGATGGGGATATGCAGAGGAATAAAACAGGATATGGTCCCTCTCGTTCTGGAGCCTTTAAGTAGAGGACTATTTATAGCAAAACAAACAAATTTTGGTAAGTGGCTCTTGCTCTTCAGTACCAGCAGCCACATGTGGTCATTTAAAATTAAAATTGTAATTAAAATTTTAAATTCAATTTCTCTTAAGTAGCCACATTTTAAGACTCGCTAGCCATATGTAACGAGAGGCTTCCATTAGTGGTACAGGTGTAAAACATTTCCATCATTACAGAAAATTCTATTAGACAGTACTATCTAGACATAAAATAGAGATCAAGGTAAACTAAGTTAGGAAAAGCCTCAGATCCTCCTTACCCTGACAGACTCCCACTGGGGTCCGGCTCTTGCCTACCCAGGTCCTGCTTTCCCTTCCTCTGAACTCTTGTAAGGCCCTGTTCAGCTGCCACCTATTCAGTGACGACTTGGTCTCGGGCACCATCTACCGTGTGCGATCTTTTCCTCTCATTACTTGCCATGGGGCTCTGGTGATGCTAAAACATTTGTTGAATTAAGGTCTCCTGTGACTTCCTGGTTGACTTTTAGACTCCCACCCTCTGGAACCTTTCCATAGTGTTTCACACTCCTTGAAACCCTCCATAATTTCCTGACATTCATTTACCTTGATTTTTCTCTTTTCTGATTATTCTTTCTCTGGCCCTGTAGCTTCTCCCCAGATTTGTGGATGGCCGTTTCCTTGAAACTCCATCTTTGCCTTTCATGGCACCACTTCTATCAGTTCTCTTGCCTCTCCATTTGCTCCTCTTTAATCCCCTTCCCAGGGTTTTTATTCTGTCTGAACTTGAATAATGCTAAGCGAGGATCCCCAGCATTCTATGACCCCTTTTTTCTGTATTCTCTTGGAGAGACCTCATCTAATACCCACGTCTGACTGCTTGCTGCCTCTCTTGAGCTCTCCTAAGCTGCATTTCAAACTAAATTTGTTACCCTCCACACAGTTATCCCCACATATTCTTTAGACTTAACATCAGAAACTAAAATACGACTCTTCCTTAGCCCACAAACTGCCTTCCTTCTGTATTCTCCAGCCATGACCATGACAGGAATGTAATCTACTTACTCAACCAAGCCAGATTTCCGATGGACCTGATCTTCTGCCTGTCCCTTAATCACTATATCACCACTCCAAAATTTGTCTTCTGAACTCCCCGTTTGTCTTCCAGCTCTGATACAGCAGCCCACTGACTGACTGACCCCTCTACACCCCACCCTTGCTTCTTGCATTCCTTCCACAAGAACGGCCTTTCTCAATGAAAACTTCCATCAGGACTCTAGGGACTTGCCATTATTTGTAGGACAGGACTTTCTCAGCCTGGCCTCCACCCCTTTAGATTCTGGCGCCTTGCCTGTCTTTCCAGCTCCATCTTCACACACTGCACAGTGACCTCACTGAGTTCCTCGTGTCCCTGGACGTCTCATGCTCTTTCTTGCTGCTGGCCCCTGCTTTTCTGCCTGGAGTTCCTTTTCTCCCTATCTTTCCTTTCTAAACTCCCACCCACTGATCTACCCTAACATATGACTCACATGTCACCTACCCCAGGAGATTTTTCGGAGTCAAAGGGTATTACAAGGATTATAAAAACAAAGTTCTTCCCCTTTTCCTCCCTTACACATTTTTGTCTAACCGCAGCCATTTTTATCTGTTGACTCCTTCTTATGGTAGATAATAATTTATTTAATCCTCTTACAAACTACCTCACTCAGTCAGACAGACATGCATATTAATGTCTCTTTTCCCCAGTCTCCCAGTAGTTGTGATAAATTATAATTTTTTTCTTTTTCCTTTTGTCTTTTTATTTGGGGGGAGTTAAATTATAATTTAAGGTTAAGATAACATTTGTTGTTTACATTATTATCACTGTACCAATATTATTCACTACTGAAGCACATAATTTTTTTTTGCTTTTGGTTTTCTCTTTTCTGAGAGTTAATGATTACCCTTTTTTCCTGTTCACTTAGTTTTTATATACCTAGCATTGATTTTTGCCATAAAATTTTTCTCTAGAAATAAAAATTTTCTCTCAATACACATGAGGTTTGTTGTTTTATCTTGGGATCCTTCTAGAACTATCTTTCTTCAGTTCCATCTGGATTACTTGCCCCCTGCTCTCTGGCAGAGTTATCCCAAGTCTTCCTTTCACCAAACACCCTGGGGGACTCCTTTAGCCTCCCTTCTGTGTTAGATCTTCTTTCTTTCTCTCTCTTTGTTGGCTCCCTCATTTTTGTTTAGAAATCTAGTGGCTTTCTGGGAAAGGCTGTGTAGGAGGTCAGTTTTAAATTCTAGCCTGAGCAAGTCGCCTAAGCTCTCTGTGGTTGACGACACCCACCTCAGAGCATGGTGGGAAGAAACAAACAAAATATAAGGCGCGGAGCCCACTCTCTGGACCATGATATGGTATTCAGTGAATCTCATTATTTCTAACCTCAACTATAATGTTTTTGGGAGATACTGTTCATGTTCTCTTACATTTTGACAGTCTCCGACCCCTGCTTCACTTCTAGTGAAGTGCCTGGCACATACATGGTGGGTACATGGGAAATGTTCAGTTAGCAGGTGGGTGGATGGATCAGTGAATTGGATCTTTAGATGAGGATATGTAGGCATAGGTTTCTAAAAGTCAAGAATGAATGTTCCAAATTTCCCAGCATCTTTCTTCCCCTCACCATGTATTCTCCTCATTTTTGCTATTGGCTGCTTTAGGACCAAAAGAAGAAACAGTGAATGATTTCTGGAGGATGATCTGGGAACAAAACACAGCCACCATCGTTATGGTGACCAACCTGAAGGAGAGAAAAGAGGTAAGAGGAAAAATTAAACAGGAAGGCCCCTTATACAGGCATGGCCTGCAGAGGGTCTCTGCTAGAGTCCTGTTTTTGACTCTGGGCTGTCCACCCTTTGTGGTTCCTTGCAGTTATTCATGCAGACAGGATCCAGGCCGCTATGCCTACCAGACTTTCCTGTGTCCCAGAGGCCTCTGATAAACCCTAGGGGTGTCTGGGGCATATTCCCTGTGTCTGGTAGTCAGACAACTCACCCTGGTTCCAAACAACCTGGAAAAAAGGCTTGGGCCATTGGTTAATAAAGCACGTGGCTTCTCCAGTCCCTCATTCTTATGGTTTCCTGTTCCTCCTCCTGAGTCAGCAGAGGGAGCCACGTGAACTCAGACCCTGCCAAGTACAAAGGAATCTGAAGCCCTGGCCTGATCCTGTAAGCAGCCTTCTGGCTGTCCTTTTCTTTTTGTGGCTGCCAAGTCCATACCTGGCCAGCTCCTCCCCTGGGCTGTAGCCAACACTAGTCCTGAGTCCTGGATCGGTCCCCAGAAAGAAATCCCCATTCATGACATTTGTCTCCAGAATGGCCCTTGAGTCACTTTGATCTCCACACTGGGTTGTTGGTGTATTGATCAGCAGGTCCACAGTGCTTAGGAGGGGTGGCACTAGGGCTAGGCTTTAGGTTCATTTCTTACAACCAGATTTATGGCTCTTGGAAGCTGTCCAAGGACCAGACACCAGGGAAGACCTTGGCCTCTCGTTACAGGTTTACAGCCTACATCAATCCACCCTGGTCGCCTCCTCATGGGTTGATGGTTCCAGGGACTCAGATAGGCTTGCCTTCAGAGTAGGACCAGTTTGCCCTGAACTGAGGGAATAAAGGTGGGAAGCAACAAGTATAGGGCTGGGCCAGTGCATGAGTTAGTAAGAGTGTGCTGAACAGGATGAAAGCTGAGGAACTTGAGAAAAAAGCAGATAAATAAGTGTGGAGCGGACTGAGGTGAGAGAACAGGCCATAAGGCTTTCCCAGAACTTCAGTCTGGGCTTTTGTGGTCCTTTCCTTTCAGGCCCTTAACATCTGCCAGGGACGGGAGGTCTGAGTCAGGGAATGCATGTCTGTTCCTTTCCAGTGTAAATGTGCTCAGTACTGGCCAGACCAAGGCTGCTGGACCTATGGGAATATCCGTGTGTCAGTGGAGGATGTGACCGTCCTGGTGGACTACACAGTGCGGAAGTTCTGCATTCAGCAGGTACTGTCTCCTGCCTCCTTTCTCAGCTCTTGCTTAGGATCTGCTGACCATTAAGAGGGCAAAATAGGCTGTGTTATCCCCCCCTTTTTACTCAGGGTGGTCAGGAGAGCTGATTTTGTGTTGTGTTTGGACTCTGAAACCAGAAATCTGGGCTCTTGGGGAACTTCTTTGTCAAAGCTAAGGAAAGAGCATCTTCATGACTGGCAGAAACATTATTAGTGAGATGGAGTTTTACCATGAAGGTGGTGCAGTCTTCTAGGTTCTGGACTCACTTTTCCTTTCTTACTCCAAAGACTCCTGACATCAAGGATGTGACAGGCCCTGCTCCCGGTCCTCCAGAGTGACCCTGGAGACCTAAGTAGAGGTCGACTTCAGCTGAGGGCAGTGTGGCACCGTGAAAGGGGGGCTTACCAAGAGTCAGGAGACCTGCATTTTAGTTCCAATCTTGACATTTTACTAGTTCTGGGACCTTGACCAGGTCATTTAACTTTTCTGAGTTTCACATTCCATATCAGTAGGCCGAGAATAATAGTAATAGCCTACCCAGTAGAGTCCTAGGGAACATTCTTTGTTCATCATTAAATCTCTCTTGGGTATACTGTCACTTGCTCATTGTCACTGACAGCCACAGGAGAGCTGGCCCTGGCCCCTAAGCTTTACTCTCCCTCCACTGGGGCCGCCCCACCCATCCCACAGTATCAGGGCCAACGCATAGGATTTCTTCACTTCACAGGTGGGAGACATGACCAACAGAAAGCCACAACGCCTCATCACTCAGTTTCACTTTACCAGCTGGCCAGACTTTGGGGTGCCTTTCACCCCGATTGGCATGCTTAAGTTCCTCAAGAAGGTGAAGGCCTGTAACCCTCAGTATGCAGGGGCTATCGTGGTCCATTGCAGGTCAGTGTGGCATGATCCTTGGCTTCCCATTCATACCAGAATCTGTTCCCATGGCCAGAGTAGGGGAAAGCACAGGTCCTGGCTAAGGAGGGTGGCATAAAGCAGATGAGCTGTTGGGCTCCCTGGGGCAGCAGCCAGAGAGACTCCTCTCTGGTACTGGGTGGAAATTACTTAAGGGGGAAATGTGGTCCTCCAATATTGGGGGTGGGGAGGCCACTGCTGTGAAGCCAGGAAACTAGGTTGAGTGCTGCCTTGTATACTGGGAGCCCTCAAGCCTTTCTGAGTGTCAAAGTATCTCTAATCCTGATAGCTAAAGGTACGGAGTTCAGGTTACAGTGGGGTTTCTTGGTTCCCTGAGAGTCCCAGCTCAACCCCATTCATAGAATTTAGAGGTCTGAAGAAGGAGCCTGGCCTGTGCTGGCCTCTCTTGTATGCTCCCCCCAGGCATGTTGAGCATCCCTGTAACACCCCTGCTTTCTGGCTACAGTGCGGGTGTAGGGCGGACAGGTACCTTTGTTGTCATTGATGCCATGCTGGACATGATGCATACAGAGCGGAAGGTGGATGTGTATGGCTTTGTGAGCCGGATCCGAGCACAGCGCTGCCAGATGGTGCAAACAGATGTGAGTGATTTGCGGGCGAAGCAAGGTGGGGACATTCCAGGACCAAAACATTTGCCACCTCATGGATTACTTAGCCTCCACGTTATTGTAAATGATCATCATACAATATAATGAAGGACCCTGATAAAATATATATTAAAAGAGACATGGCGTAGGGGGGTTTGGTAGGCAGGTGTCATTTGCACTAGGCTCTAAAGATAAGAAACAGGTCCTGAGGGGATCAGGAATGCAGGCAGAGAACCAGTGCCTGCAGGGTTGCGAAGCAGCTCAGCTATGTCCAGGAGCAGCACATGAGATCATCTTTATGGTTAGGGCATAGGCCTCAAAGGCTACAGCTCTGGGAGGCAGGTTGGCCCAGGTTTTGTGTGTCACCAGATTCTGACAGCTTACACTGTCAGCATGAGCAGGAGTTGGGTTTGTTCTTCTCTCCAGGCTTCCATTCCAGAAGGGTGCCAGAGTAGGACCCTGCCTCCCAAGTTAAGCACCCCCAGGGAGACTTGTGAATTTCAGGGTCACTGAATTGGGACAATGAGAGTTTTATCCTTGCTAGGATCAAAGAAAAAGTAGACGGGAGGGAAATGGGGTGGGAGGGGGAGGTCCGCTCCATAGGGACAATTGTGTGTAAGTGGGAACTCAGGCACCGTCCACTTTCAGATGCAGTACGTCTTCATATACCAAGCCCTTCTGGAGCATTATCTCTATGGAGATACAGAACTGGAAGTGACCTCTTTAGAAACACATCTTCAGAAAATTTATAACAAAATTCCAGGGACCAGCAACAATGGATTAGAGGAAGAGTTTAAGGTGAGTTGGAGCTGAACCACCTTTTCAGATTGAAGGATCCGTGTGATCTGGGAATTATGGCATGCCTGACTTCTTGAGGATTTACCAACAAATGGTGAAACTCCTTGTGAGGTCTGTGAGTGGATAAGGAGGTGAGTCTCTAGCCCTTTACTCATACCCCAGTCATTCTTAACCCATCCTGCACGTTGGGATCAGTTGAGTTGTGTTGCAGGGGAAAACCGGCAATGGTATTTTTCTTAAGTCCCCCAGCCTCTCTCCCCCTCACTGCTGGTGATTAGAATCAAAAGAGCAAGCATTTTCTGTTAAGAGCCAAATAGTAAATACTGTAAGTTTTATGGGTCATACGATCTGTGTTACAACTACTTAACACTGCTGTTGTGGCACAACAGCAGCCATAGACACTATGGAAACAGATGAGCACAGCTGTTTCCATAAAGCTTTTAAAGGCAGCAGGCCAGATAGGGCCTGTGGACTCTAGAGTGCTGACCCCTGCTGTTTGCCATTAGATGATGGTTCTCAACACAACTAGGGAATATTTTACACTCTCCTCAAAGTGCTCCAGCAGCAAGAGATTCTGGGTTGGGGTGGGGAAGACCACATTCCTTAAAGCTATCCTTCTCAAACTATAATGGGACCCAAATTACCTCCAGATCCTGTTAAAATGAAGGTTCTAATTCAGCAGGTCTGAGTTAGGGCCTGAGGTTTTACATTTTTAACAAAATGAGGCTGATGCTGTTGGTTTATGAGCTACAGCTACATTGAGCTACATTGAATAGCAAGGATCAAGAAGGGACTTTAGAATCAGGATGGGATGCAGGGTGGTGTTCATTTGAATAAAGTTTTCAAGACTCTGTGACAGCCTCTGGGAGTGGAACAGCAGGGCGAAACTAGGATCCTTGCTTCAGGATCATGACGTTCCAGCCCAAGGAAATCTAAGAAGGGTCCACAGAAGCCTTTCTCAAATACCCTTTCGGCTTGTTCACTGAGTTTAAAGATAGAAGAAAGTGTTCCAACAGGGACATGTGAAAATGAATGTTAGGGTTCTGGTGAGGTGCTGTATGCAGCCAGAGTGGCCTGGAGATGCAGGTTTAGTGACAGGCATAATCTTACCAAGTTCAGTTACTGGGATGTCATGTTTTCCCTTTCCTTCCCAATTCAGAAATTAACATCAATCAAAATCCAGAATGACAAGATGCGGACTGGAAACCTTCCAGCCAACATGAAGAAGAACCGGGTTTTACAGATCATTCCATGTAAGAATCCTCTCCACACCCCCAAAGCCTTAGTGCCTTATCCCCCCCACCTTTCCCTCCACCTTTCCCATTTCTCAGGTCCTAGTTAATAATGATCAGCTTAGAGACAGAAATTACAGTATTGCCATTTGTTGCCCTCAGTTCTTTAATGGTTTCTGAAAATAAAAGAGCATGAAGGCCAAAAGGATTCTACCTCCTGGGCTAGGAACAGGCATGTTACTCCCCAGCTGGGATTATATCTGCCCAGGGCCTCGGGTAGGGAGGAAAGATGGAAGGAGAGGGAGGAGAAGACAAGTGGTATTGGGGAACCACAAGCTACTGTCGTTCCTGCAGATGAATTCAACAGAGTGATCATTCCAGTTAAGAGGGGTGAGGAGAACACAGACTACGTGAATGCATCCTTCATTGACGTAAGTGTTTTCTGTATCCCCGAATCCCCCAGTGTTCCATGGAGATTCATCTGGGTCTTACAGTCCCCCTGCCCCACAAGTTCTGGGAGAGTTATCTTTGAGTCAGTCATCAATTAGAAACTGATCCCTTCCCTAGATCTGTCAGGTCCCACAGAGAAGAAGCAGAGGTACAACCAGGGTAATCACTGGAGGAAAAGTCTGCAATAAAAACCACAGCCAAAGGCTGGAAACTCTGATCTTTCCCATTCCTGTTCTCTTCATCCCAACTTCGCTCCTTCCTTCCCTCACCCTCGTAGAAAGACCAGCTGATCAGACCAAATTTGGTCCTTGGCTGAAACGGTGCTCTGCCTGGGATGAGTTTGTCTCCAAGCAGCCCCCATCCCTTCCTAGTACGTGTTCTCCACTAGCTCCTCCCTGATTAAAACCAGCTCACTCCTGCCATTGAACCTGGCCTGTACAGGGCTACAGGCAGAAGGACTCCTACATCGCCAGCCAGGGCCCTCTTCTCCACACAATTGAGGACTTCTGGCGAATGATCTGGGAGTGGAAATCCTGCTCTATCGTGATGCTGACAGAACTGGAGGAAAGAGGCCAGGTGAGCTCAAAAAGGGCCAGGGCTCTGAAAGACAGAGACCACATAAAAAGTGGAGGTGGTGTGACTAAGAAGGTATGTTGGGATTTTCTCTTTGGAAATGTGCCCAAAAAGCCATTTGCAGGCAGTATTGCCCAGCCAGTTGGTATCTGTGCAATCAGTGGCTTCTGTCAGGACTGGAAGAGCAGTGTGGTCTGAGCTTCCATTCAGTTCCCAGACAGTTCACACACTCTTACTTTCCTGAATATGGTTCATCCTCCCTCCCCCCAAGCCTAGCTTTGTGCGTTCTTTCCTCCCACCTCCCAGGTGGGTAGTGCTCTCCATCCTTAGCAGGATCCCAAGGCATTTTTTAGCCCTGGGCCTTGGTGGGTATAGCCGCTGCTGGCCCCTGCTCTTCAGCCTGGTGGAGAGTCATTCCCTGTAGATCTCTACACTATAGGAGCAAAAGAAGTTGCTCCTTTTGAATATTCTAAATTCTGTGCCTTTTCCTCCAAAACCTTGCCTTTCAACAGCTTAACTCAGCCTTCTAAATTAGTGCTACTTGAGTAACAGCTTTCTGACATGTCTCACCTCACAGCCACAAGAGTCGCCTCTGGAGTACAGTATCCCTCCATTGTTCCCTTTTTCTCTCAAATCAAGGCAGCCTGCTGCCTTGTTTGTGTTGTTCTGCCCCACATGGAGGGCTAAATTAAACCTTGTAGCTTTCACCTGGCTGAGTAGTGTAAGTTCCTGCCTGTACTCCAACATCTATAATCATCTTAATAAGGCTTATCTTTATCGTCCTTTAAATTTTAACCCTATAAGTTTACCAGGCTTGTTTCCTCTCAGCAGACCATACCTGCCTGCTTCCCTGCAATAGCTGTGTCACCTTGAAATTCACTCCACAGCACTGACCTAACCTCTTGTTTGTTTTGATTGTATGCAACCACCGTGGGTAGTTGTCCCTATTCGTTGGCCAGAGTAGCTCTCCCATTTGCTTTCACTGTTAACCAGCTAACTTCCTGTCCAGTTTTAAGAGGAGACTCTCTTGATAGTTTCCCAACTGTGCATCCCTGGGGTCCCCTTCCAATCTCTTTTTTTTTTCTATTATGCCTCTTTGCCTAAACTAACGTCTAAAATATCTGAAAGGTGTTAGGTGTGAGACCCATAGAACAGTTGATCCTTGAACACAGGGTTGGGGTACTGACCCCCCTCACAGTTGAAAGTTTACATATAACTTTTGACTCCCCAAACACTTCAGTCATCTCTTGCTGTCTGCAGGGGATCGGTTATGGGAATCCCCACAGATTCCCAAGCACAGATCAAAAACACTGTTTTCAATTTGTGGTTGGTTGAATTCACAGATGCAAAACCTGGGGATACAGGGGATTGACTATATATACTTAAGGAAAAAAATCCCCGTTATTACTGGACCCCTGTAGTTCAAACCCGTGTTGTTCAGTGGTCTGCTGTATTTTTTTTTCTTGTTATTGTGTGATTCTAGCTTATACACTCTGTTGCTCTCAAACCCATTTGGACCTTAGCAGTTTTAATGGTTTAAAAGTTCTAGTCTTCAGTCCTAACTGATAACTATGTAAAAGCAGCTTTGGGACTATAGAAGAAAAACTCATTCTACTGACCAACGCCCTAAAAACCAGTCTACTCTATTTAAGGTGATTCTTAATTAGAATTATTTATAACTCTTCTGGTTGAAGAGAGAACCCAGAACCCTAACTCCCAAAACAACCAAGGGCTCATAGTCGGCTCCCGTGGACAAGTGCTGGCCTATGGCATTTCCTTTATCCGCCTCCGTAATAATCCTGTGTCTTAAAATGAGCTCAGTATTATGTATAAAGGGGGTAATGAATGATCATACATATGAAAAGCAAGAAAGTTTATTTAAATGGACTTCCAGTGGTGATTTTTATTTTTCTACTTAATTTTCTCACATCTTTTATAATGGACATAGGGTCCATTTGTGGTTGAGGATTTAAAAATTGTCAGTAATGAAATATCTAAGATCTTCCCCACAGTGCTCTAAAGAAATGAACCGTATTTTGTTTTATTTATGTATTTATATCCTGGCTTATCTACAGACCTTGAACAAATTCATTTACCAAGTACTTACTGAGACCTACAATACGTAGGCATTGTGGAAGGTCCTGGGAATTCAAAGATGAAGAGAGGCAGCCCCTGCCCACAGGAAGCTGTAGAGGAAACTGAGCCACGTAAACACAAAGACAGACAGTAAACCATCTTCTGCTCACTATAAAGAGCAGAAATACAAGCACTAGCAACTTTAAGGTTCCATTGCAGATTGAAGAGATAAAGGGGGAAAGAAGGAAGTAGGGGTACTGTGGACTGGGCTGTGGTGAAGCACCATGGCTGGGCAGGGGGCATGTAATGGGTGTCAGTTTTTCTGGGTTAGCAGTCTGACATGTAAGCAGCTATAAAATGTGAGGACACCCAAGGGAGCAAAAATAAAGTGGGATCTGGAACAAAGATATTCACTCCTCGCCTCCCTCCATCCTGCCACTGTGTTGGATGCAGTGTGAGGCAATGGTCTGAGTTATTCAGAGACCCTGGCAGTGTTGCAAAGTACACCATAACACCAACTGGTTAAGTGATTACCTCTGGTAATGGAAATGAGTTGTTAAGTACAGATGTCCTCTTCAGGATCAGAAGTTAATTGGAGTGATCTTAAGTAACATTATAACCCTCATGTTCTCGATACCTTGGGGGTGAAGTGTGTCAGGTAGGAGGAAGCAGCACTGGGAAGGGAGCAGGCAGCTCGTGGGGCAGCCCTGCCTCTTCCACACATGGTATTCTGAGCCCCTTCCACTCTCCCGTTTGTCCCTCCAGGAGAAATGTGCCCAGTACTGGCCCTCAGATGGACTGGTATCCTATGGAGACATCACAGTGGAACTAAAGAAGGAGGAGGAATGTGAGAGCTACACCGTCAGAGACCTCCTGGTCACCAACACCAGGGTAAGATGGCTGGTGGGTGAGGCTTCTCCCACTGGGAAAACCGGGGTGCCCCTGCCTCTCTGATGGCTCTTCCTCCAAAGGAAAACAAGAGCAGGCAGATCCGGCAGTTCCACTTCCATGGCTGGCCTGAAGTGGGCATTCCCAGCGATGGAAAGGGCATGATCAACATCATCGCAGCTGTACAGAAGCAGCAGCAGCAGTCAGGGAACCACCCCATCACCGTGCACTGCAGGTACTGCTCACTCTGGCCCTAAGAGGGGAGAGAGGGAAAGTGACGAGAAGCAGGTGGGTTGGAGGCGATGGTGAGCGTGTGTCAGACAGAGAGGAAAAGGTGAGCAACGGTGGGTCGTTGGGGAGCACATGGCGATCAGGCTGGATGACCAGGACAGGGCCAGATGATAAGAGAGCATCCTGGTGTGTACTTAGCACATTATGTGTGGGGATACCTGGCCTCCTTATGCGACACAGGAAAGAGAAAAGAGCAAGTATTGAAGACAGTTTGAAGAAGACTGGAAAGGGCTGAGAAAACAGTTGTGAGAGAAAAGAGGAGTCAGGAGTGGCTCCTAGGTTTGAGGTAAGGTCTCTGGTAATGGGTGGTGTCACTGACGGGAGAAAGACAGTAAGGGGTTTTGCTGGTTGTGGGGAAATGTGAATTTTCTCTGGAGCATGTTATTTGCTGTTGCATTTTAGAAAAAATATTTATCATGAGTTTGTGTTGCTCTTATGACTAGAAAAAATAACCCTTTTAAAGGGGAAACAAGAATATTAAAAATTTCTATAAATTAGTTTTGAAAATCAAAAAACAAGCAAAGGAACTTCTAGGAATGTATCCAGTAAAAGTTCCTCAAGTGGCCAAAATGAAATAATTACAAAGATTGAAGTATTGCTTCTGGTAGTAACAGATTATGAGTAATATGAACACACATTAAAAGGGACTGATTTCAGGCCGCTCTGATACTCATACTGTGAGAACGAGACTGGTGCGGAACAATCCTCCAGATTCAGTGTTCGGTGAGAAAGGCCGCGGGGACACGGGCTGTCCCGCGGGACGGGGGCCGTGTGTGTTTATGTTGGTATGTGTGTAAGACACCTCTGCAGGGACACACGGGACCTGATGGCACTGCCTGTGCACCAGGGGAGAGTGAAGGGCAGAGAGATGTCACTGGACCAGGGAGGAGAGTTGTCACTGTTCAAGACCTTCTTGAAATTTGAACGATGCTAGTTAATTATCTATATAAAAATAATCATTTTAAAAAGTGAAGAAAAAGGGGCAAAGTACGTTAACTAATACTAATGCATAGTGAACATGAAAAGGTTGCTCAACTTTACTAGTAAGATGAGAAATGAGAGTGAAAGCAATGAACCATGGCTCTTGCCCAGTGGATTGGCAAAATGAAAGGGTTCCTGTGGCCTAAACACTTCATACCCACACTTTACCCTTGGTCACCCTCTCTTAGGACATCCCAGGTTCTCCAGCTACCCTGTACTTGTACCATGTGTCTGAATGTGGCTGAAGAAAAGTGCTGTGTTATGAGGTCTCCTGTTATGTTTCTGACCCTTGACCTCACGGTTGGCCCTTAGTGCCGCCTTGCTGTCCTTCCCGGTCTCCCAGCCTCCTGGACCAGAGCTAGGCCAAGTAGGGCCCAGCACCAGATCCAGCCTGCCACCTGGTTTTATGTGAGCCTGACAGCTAAGAACTTCTTTTTTAAAAGATTTTATTTATTTACTTTTAGAGAGAGGGGTAAGGGAGGGAGAAACAGAGGAAGAGTCACATTGATGTGTAAGAGAAACATCAATGGGTTGCTTCTCACACTTACTCCTGCTGGGGACTGGCCAGCCACCCAGGCATGTGCCTGACTGGGAATCAAGCCAACGAACTTTGGCTTTTCAGGATGACGCCCAACCGAGCCACACCAGCCAACACTATTTTTATATTTTTTAATACCTTTTTAAAAATCAAAAGAAGAATATTTCATGACATAAAAATGACATAAAATTCCAGTTTTATTGGAATGTGACGATGCTCATGTGTTATGGATTAGCCAGGGCTGCCCTCAGCCCCAGTGGCAGCACTGAGACCCAGCGGTGCCCTCCTTACCTCACGCTGCTGCTTCTCAGCACACACGGAGTTCCATTTGCCCTGTTGCAATTTGATTTCGTCTCTTCCCAGCAAAACCTTAGATGTTTTCCAACTTGCCAACTTTTTCCCCAGAAAGAAGGTATTTCCTACCTTCTTTCAAACCTCAAACCTCCAACACCTTGCCCATCCTCATTTTTAAGAGTTGGCTGTGTTTTCTATTTGACTAACAAAAGAGAAGCAATCAGAGAGAACTTCCACATACTCCCACCACCATAGCTCCCATCCGCCCGTACTGGTGCTGTGGACCCTGCAGCCTTTACGGTCAGTGGATGAGTTGCCTGACCTCTCGGAAGCCAGCTGTGTTCCTCATCTTACCACAAACTGAGCATCTGGAAACAACACACATTCATATAATAGTCTCTTTGCTCAGGAGACTGAGCATTTCCTAGCTGAGTCTTGTGCTTTAGGGTCTCACAAGACTGCATTTAAGGTGCCACCCAGGCCCGTGGGCCCACCTGAGGCTCAGATGGGAAAGGGTCCACCTCCCAGCTCACTTGGTTATTGGTAGCACTCAGTTCCTTGTAGGCTGTTGGACTAAGGGTCTCTTGTCCGAAGTTTCTTGCCATGTGACCTTTCCAGTGTGCTTGCTTGCTTCTTCTAAGCCAGCAAAGGAAAGAGCATCTCCTTGCCAGACAGGCTTATGATCTCAAGTAACATAATTATGTTTGTGTGATTGTGTACATGCTATTACCCTTGCTTAATTCTTTTGGGTAGAAGCACATCACAGATCCCTCGCACACTCAGGGGAGGGGGATAATACAAGGGCATGAATACCAGGAGGCAGGGATCTTGGGAGCCACACTAGAGCCTGTCTGCACCCCACCCTCCGTTGGTTACCAGCTCTGTCCCTCCAATTTTATCTCCTCAAGGACTTCTCTGTCCTACATGGTAACTACCTGATTAACCAACATCTTCATATAAATGTGCTATAATTTCTCCCATCTTAATATTTTAAAATAAATAAACTCTTGCCTCCAATTCCCCTCCAGCTATTTCTCTATTTTCCTTAATAGTAAAGCTTCTCAAAAAGATGGTTCATACTAACTCTCCCTGTGGGAGAGTTAGTAACAGTACCTGTCCCAATCCCATTCCAGCTGAACACACTCTATTACAGCTGCCCCTGTGAGAGCCATCTGTCACCTTCACGTTGCTGAGTTCAGTGACCACTTCCCATTCTTGTTATTCTTAACCCTTCATCAGTATTAAACAGTTGATCACTTACGTCTCTACAGAATGCTTTTAGCATAGCTTCTCTCTTGGTTTTTATCATCGTTAGCTGTTCTTTCTCTGTCTCCTTTGCTGATTCCTCTCCATCTGTGGTCCAGGGACCAGTTCATGGACCTCATCTGTGTCACTAACAGTCACTCCCCTAGGCAAACCCATCTGAGTCTCCTGGCATTGATACCAACACCCAAATCTGTATCACCAGTCAATCTCTCCCCTTAACTCCAGGTTTACATATCTGGTTACCTCCTCAGCACTTCCACGTGAGCATTTCATTTTAAGAGTTTCGGTCAGAACTCCTGACCTTCTTTCCAAGCCCACTGCTTCCACAGTCTTCCCCAAATCAGTAAGCAGCATTTCAGTCACTCAGGTGAGATGCCTTGCAGCCATCCTGTTCTCTTCTTTTTTTCTCACACTTGCACATCTAAAGCTCTGCTTTGCTCTACATGCAAAATAATTTCAGAATCAAGTGTTTCCCACTCCCGCCACCACAACTCCTCTGCACAAGCCACCTTCTCCTTTTCCCAGTAATTATACAAGCCTCACTGCTTTTCCCATGTCCACCCTTCCCCTCTGTTATCAACACAGAAGGCTGAGATAACATTTTAAAACTTGAGCAAGACCGTACCACTCCTTTACTTAGAATCTAACAGCGGTTCATAAGGCCCAAACCGACCTGAGGGCTCCTTGCCCAGGCCAGGTGGGGGTGCACCCAGGGGACTGGCATTCTCCCTGAGGGCTCTGACTGCACCCCAACACCCTCCTGCCTTGTGCCTGAGACGCTCATTTTCCAGGCAGCCATCCAGCCTGGGCACCTTCTTCCGGGCTCTATGGCAGAGAGCCTTCCCTCACCAGCCTGCTCACAAGAGCAGTCTCCCTGCCCTGCCTAGAACTCCTGTTTCTCCTTCTCCTTCCCATGCCGCATACCTTATTCTCTGGGGTTCCCGCCACCCATTAAAGTCCCACACCACAGGCACTCAGTAGAGTGTGGTGAGTAATCAACTGGTAACATTAAACGGGGAGTGTCACAGTGAGACTCTGGATTCCTGGGATGTAGGAAGAAAATGAGAGGCATAGGAAAGAACCAGCATACACACAACAGTGCAGGGGGCAAGGTTTGTCAGGGTCAGGAGAGGACTAGAACTCTGAGTGAGCAGCAGGTCAGGGCAACCCAGGCATGTTTATAGGTAGACAGCAGAGGCTCAGTGCTTGGTGGGTGAGGCTTGGACGTTCTTCACTATCCCATGGGCCACACCCCAGGCAAAGCGGGCCACGCAAGAAGGGAAGCAGGGATGCACCTGCTTCTCCAGAGCTGTGTGAGCAAAGAGCTTAATGTGAGGAGCAGTTGGGCCTCCTGCCCCACCCCCAGCACCAACCTCAGCCACTATCTGCTTATTGCCACTGTCAACTTGCCTCATCAGCACAGAGGTCTGGTGTGTTAAGTGTCTCTACTTTATTACAGTGCAGGGGCAGGACGGACAGGGACCTTCTGTGCCCTAAGCACAGTCCTGGAACGGGTGAAAGCGGAGGGGATTCTGGATGTCTTCCAGACCGTCAAGAGCCTGCGGCTGCAGAGGCCACACATGGTCCAGACACTGGTATGCTGCCCGCCTTCGTCCGCGCCACTGCACCATCTGCAGCCGTTCTTTGTCGGGTCATTTCAGTGGGGAGGCTCTTCCCAGGGACCCGATCCGGGTGTCAGAAGCCTGTGTAACCACAGACCCACCCTTCCCCAGGATGCCCCAGGCAGAACAAGCGTTGGGAGGCAGTGAAAGCCGTGGGGGGGTAGCCCTGTCACTAGTCACTCTTAACTGGTGCACCAGCTGCCCGGGCAGGGCAGGGAGCCCTCAAATCATGTTGGGCCTGTGGCCTCTGGAAAGTCTAGAACGGGGTACAGGGTGCCCCATGGGCTTGTCTGCACTTCTCCATGAGTTCTGAGGTGGGGAAGACTCAGGAGTGAGTCCTCTCTTCTGCTCAGGCTCCCTGTTAAGAAGTCCGGCTCCTAGCAGTAACCACTGAGGATGAGGACAGACATCCAAAAGGCTTTCTCAACCCTGTGGAGCTAGAACTATCTGCAGGGGAAAGAAAAGTCTATTTTAAGATGTTTGGGAAGTAATGAGGTGCCCTGAGCCTAACAGCCATAGTGAGGTGTGGGCCACGCAGAGCCGCCTCCCTGCCTGCTCTGCCGAGCCAGCTCCCACGTCTGACCTCCTGCTCTCTGGTCGCCTCCATCTGTAGAGGATTTCGCCCAGAAGAGGGAGGCTGTCAGAACCCTGGCAGAAACTGCATGTATGTTGGTCTCGTCAGTAACCCTGGCTTTTCCCCTCCTTTCACTCTCCAGGAACAGTACGAGTTCTGCTACAAGGTGGTGCAGGAATATATTGACGCATTTTCAGATTATGCCAATTTCAAGTAAGGGGTGATGAGACCCATGGACAGGAGAATTGCCTTTAATATTTTGTAATATTCTGTTTTGTTAATATACCCAAAATTGTGTATATATCTTATAACTGTTTTAGAAATTGGTACATAGGCTTCTATTACTTATTAGGTGGAGATTTTATATGTAAATGTGTTAGCACTGATAGTCCTTTTTCCAATGTTTTATTGGGGAATTAAATAGTGTGATGTTTGGATTGATATCGTGAAATCCTCTGCCTGGAAATTGGCTGCATTGTTCTGTGGTTTATACATCTTTTCCTGAAGAAGAAACACAAAACCCTTTCCAGGTAGCTTGACATCAACTAAGGAAAAAAAGCACAAAGTTCTCCGAGCTCTTGAGGAAATTGGTTGTCCCAGTGTCCTTCCAGGACACTGTTCCCTCCCTGCTTTGTAAATAATCCCTCCCCTCCCCTCCCCACCCAGCTCCTCCTTCCACCACTCACATCCACCATGGGAGTAAGGGGACCAGGGCGGTATCTCTGTCACCACACTAGGGATTATCAGGTAATAAAAGCTTTGCCTCCCGGAGGAAATGTCTCTCCCTTTGTCAGAGGTGGGGCAGCCATACCAGGGCTGGGGCTCTCCTAGGCCACTCCTGGCCCTCCTGTTACTGTTCTGTCTCAACTGGCGGCAGAGAGACCACAGTCCTCACAACTCCTCCTTTCCAGTAAGCGCAGCCCTGCCAGCTCTTGGCTAAGTCGCCAAGGACCCACCCGCCCCCCTCCCAGCACATCTTTGGTGCAGTGGTCCCAGCCAACCTGGCTCCCTGGGAAGATGGCCTAGGGCACAGAGGAGAGAAAAGGCGGCTCAGAGCTAAGGCCAGTCCGACCTTTCTGGTGCTCTGCTACAAAACCATCTAGACTGCGTCACTCTGTCCAGAACGTCTTTCTACTCACATTTGCTGTGTTAAATAGCTTCAGTTACCTTTCGTATCTGTCCTCATTTTCAGGGCTCTTACATGCAAGTGCCTCAGATCCTGGATGGTGGGAGTCTTAGATTCCAACTTGATTTTGAGCCTGATTATTAGTCAAAAGTGTCTAACTTCTGTGCCTCAAATGAGGTGGATGTTCATTTATTCCTCACCTAACAGAGACCTAGGATTGTCCCATCTCATGATCCCATTGTCTCTTAGGGTGTTATTGTTTTCTTCATGGTTGGAGCTGGATCACTGCCCTTTCCCATGGAGAACCAAAAATCAACATGGAGAGCAAGCAACTTCATTTTAAAGAACATCAAGCAAAATTTGCACTTACCATTTTCACATATATCCCACTGGCCAAAACCTAGTCGGAGGCTACGCCTAGCTACAAGGAATGCTGGGAAAGAGTCTTTGGGAGCACAGCTGGGAGGGCGGGTCTGTGCACTGCCTGCTGTGCTCATGAGCAGCTCATCATGGGAACAAGAGAGCAAGCTTGTTGCCATGGCTGGCAGTGCAGGGCAATGCAGGGCCAAGGGAGACTTGGGGTCTGCGGAGCCTTTCTTGAGAGCAAGGCAGGTCCTGAGCTTCCTCAGGTTGCCAGGAGTGAGAGGTGGCACCCTATCCTGGCCCATGAAGGCACGCTTGAAATAGCAGTACTGCTATGCTTGGAAGAGGTGAGACTTGAATTGGATCCAAGGGATGCTGGTGATTTAGGTGACAGAATGGAGGACAGGTTGTGTGGAGCCGCATTACAGAGCACCTTGGAGTCCAAGCAAGCAAAGACATGATGGCTCTGTACCACATGTTCAGGAGGTCCGCGGGGACACCATCACGACAGACCGCCTCTGGAAGCTTGCAAGGGGTGTTTGTGTCAGTGAGGTACCTGGTCCCTCTGTACGAACTAAGGAACTCCAAGGGGCAATAAATGCCAATTTCAGTAGTTTTAAAAGAAGCATGGATAAATTAAGCAAAGACAAATTTGATAAATTTCTGATGAGGGGTGCTATGATTGGGAGAGGACCCTGGCGCTCCTCACAGGCCACTTCGGATGCCTGTGTGTGACCCAAGTTGAGGCAGGTGGAAGAGAGCACCCCATGCTCGCAACGCACGGGGCTTCATGCAGTCTTGCCAAAGCTCATGACCTTTCCTGCAGCCCTCCAGCATTCTCTGCACCCCTTTAATGCCCACCCCAACTTTGCTCCAGCCCTTGGATCCACTAGTAAGCAGTTCCTGTGTTGACTCTTCATCTTGTTCCTTAACACAGAGCAACATTGCTGCCCTGTTTCCACAACTCCAGCTAGCCCATGTTCTGCCGTCACCCAGACCACCTAGTGAGGGGTTTGTGCCCCTCTGTGCTCCCGTGGCAGCTGGGTGCTCAGCTCCACACCTGTTTTCCCCACTGACTATGGGCAGCTCCCAGACTGGAATGATGTCCTCTCCTCAGGGCAGAGTTAGGTGGAACTCAGTGGTGAGCAGATGACTTTCTGTGTCATCCTAAGAGAGAGGACGAGGAACTGCAGAGTTTATAGTCTGGAAGGGCATAGCAAACATTCCTGAGAAGTAGGTATGTTTCCCTAAATAGGGGCCCAGAGCTTCCCCTGGGAAGCTTAGCCAGTCTGATTTGGATTTTTAGGAAAAACCACAAACAAATTAGAGAAAAAACAAAGCACCCCCATTCCTTTTTAAATGAACTTGAGGGACTTTGACTAAAACATTCTGTAAACCCAAGTCAGAACTAAGCTTGCTTATTAAACTCAATCATTTCCACTAAACCACAAATGTTTTCACTAAAAATTACTTGGTTAACCAATACATCAGGAAAAAAAGTCGTTTTTTTCCAAAACAGATTAACTGAACACATACTTCGGGTCCCTGCTAAATAAATCGTGGAAATTCACATGTGTGCCCTCCTTCCCGGGCAGCTGAGTTCCAGGTGCCCATGACCTGCTGTGCCATTCCCTCCCTCATCTTCGACACAGGATTCGATGCACCTGCTTGCCCAGTGACTGGCCATTGTGATGCCAAGCCTGGTCCAGGACCTTGCATTTGCCGTTCAGCTCAAATGCAAAGACTGGCTATGGACCCTGTAAATAGGCCTGTGCCCCCAGAGGCTGATAGCTGGCATAGAAATCTGAGCTGACAAACATGTAGAGGCAGGAGCATGTTTCAAGTGTCCCAGGACACCTGTGCCCGAATCCTGGCATAGCCCTGGCTGTGCGCAGGTTGGGGAGGGGTTGGAACCTTGAGAAGCAGAGTTACTCCCACCTGCTGCTGACTGCCCAACAGGATGCTGCACAGCCTCCTCAGCTGGCCCTTCCATAGGCCTTAGAGAGGCCACCGGCGGGCAGGTGTGCCTCACCCAAACCTACCTCCACCTGAAGCGACCCAGCCCTGGCCCTCGGGTATGTGGGTGAGGACTGGTTCCCCCAAACCCATTTTGCAGGGGGACAAAAACCCCTCAGGAAGAGTGGTCATAGCCTCCTCTGGACCTCTTACCAGGTTGCAGGGCTCCCCACGCAGGCCACCACTTTTCCCCCAGGGAGCTCTGTGCTGGGTGGAACTCAGATTGTCCCCAGCCATTGTTCCTCTCAGGGCCACAACTTCCTTTTTGGATCAGAAAAGGCTATAAGGGCTTTTTAGGCCTAAGGACAGGAACTTGAGGAGGCAGCCTGAAAAGTGGGAAGATGTAGGAAGGGAGCATCCGTCTGGTGACCCCAGAGTCGGTGGCTGCAAAAAACTGGGAACGTGCAGTGGTAAGGGAAGGAGACTGGGTGGTGAGCTGCTCCCCTTTCCCTCTGCAAACGTCACTGGAGTCTGTGGCCTGGAGCAGGGGGTGGAGCCACCTCATCAATAAATCCTGGGGTTCTCTGGGGTCCCCTTGCTGCCTGGAGAAGCCACAGCTCTCTGTAAGTGAGGAGGCTGCCCTCCCCAAGGCCTGGGACTCGGATGGAGCTCCATCCTTGGTGGGTAGCTCCCCTTCCCCCTCCCAAATCCCTCCACCCATGAACCATGCCCAAAAAGCCCACTTCCCTTCCTCCAACAAAACTTGTGCCTGCTGCCCCTGGTGTGGGAGGGGCAAGGGGTAGAAGCACTTGCTCCTGTCACCACCACACATTCATTCACATCCCCACTTGCCTGGGAAGAGAGATGGTAAACCTGAGACAAGTGGCAGAGGGCCTGCCACTCTGGTCCCCCAGCACCAGCTGCCCCCGGTTGCTGCCTGTCTCATAGAGAACTCCTCTTTCCGTCCATCCATTGGCCCATTTCCCACTCCATCTTTCCCATTTCTGGAATCCCCCAAGAAAGGAGGGTAGGCCTGACTGACTGGGGTTGGCCCCCAGCTGGCTGATAACCTCCAGGCTCCGAGGCTCTGGGAGGAGGCTAGTTGCCAGGAGCCCTCAGGGTCAGGACCCCTGTAGTCTTGGGATGAGGAGCAGTGGCAGAAGAGGGAAGGGCGTTAGGGGACACTAAAGCTGCCCCTGAAGTGCCAGTTGTCCAAAGGGAACCTGGAGTAGGTGCAGGGGATTGTGCGTGAAAGTGCCAGGCTCCTTGAGTGCTGTCCTCTGTCCATGGGAACAGCCCTGCCATGGCCATCCCCAGGCTGGGCTGCCTGCAGCTGCTGCAGCCACCACCCCTGGACTCTTGAAGAGCCCATGGCTGGTACCCTGGAGAAAAGCAAGCCTCCAGCTCACCCCTGCACTGCCAGCATGTCCCATGGCCTTCAGGTGGGTGATGAGTCCCCCTAGCCCGAGTGGGAGGAAGGTGCTGGCTGGGTCTCCTTCACCTACCTTGGGCCTTGGGTGGGGGGTAGTGAGGGCAGCAAGTCTCAGCTCTTCTTTTTCAAGATTTTACTTTTAGAGAGGAGAAAGAGGGAGAAAGAGGGAGAGAAACATCAATGTGAGAAATATCGATGAGTTGCCTCTCACATGCATCCCAGCTGGGGATGGGGCCTACAGTCCCGGCATGTGCCCTCTCTGGGAATCAACCTGCAGTCCTTTGCCTCTTGGGAAGAAGCCCAACCAACTGAGACACGCAGGCCAGGGCTCTTCTCCCTTCAGGGAAAGAGTTCTGTGCACTGCTGCAGGCAGACCAGACCAGATCGCTCGTAGCCTCCATGGTGTTGCCCTGGCTCCCCCACTCTCCATCCTGGGGAAAGTGTACCTGGAAGGGAAGAACCACAAGCCCATGGACCCTCCGTGGAAAGCAGCACCTGGTAGGTGCAGACACTGCTGGTAGGTAGGGTGAGAGGGGTCATGGACGCTAAGGGCTGGGGGCTATG